TATTTATTTATTTATTATGCATACAATATTCTGTCTTTGTATATGTCTGCAGGCCAGAAGAGGGGACCAGACCTCATTACAGATAGATGGTTGTGAGCTACCATGTGGTTGCCGGGAATTGAACTCAGGACCTTTGGAAGAGCAGGCAATGCTCTTAACCACTGAGCCATCTCTCCAGCCCTGTCTTCTTGGGTTTTTCACCTCAAAGTTATTTAACAAAAAGATCTGGCCTACAGACATACACACAGACAGAATATTGTATACATAATAAATAAATATTAAAAAAAAAACCCCACAAATATTTATATGTTGTTTCTTTTACAGCCCACTCTATGATATGTTGAGAAAGAATCTTGTCACGTCAGCCTCCGTTAACACAGGTATGTTGTATGTTTCTTCAGTCTGTATTGAAGCTTTGAGTTTAAGGAAGCAAATGGCGGGAACAAGGGTTAAGATGAAAATGGAGTGCTGTCTGTCATGACTTGGGAGGGATGTATGTATAACTCATGTAAAATGGTCTTACTGTTGAGTAAGTTCTCACTGATACCTTCCATCATACTGAAGCTAGGAGAGATGCCTACATTGTAGACGTAGTTTTTCCCTCTATGTGTCACAGGGGATTGAGCCTAGGGCCTGTGTTTATATGCTCTAACCCTGACCTACATGTCTAGCTTCCTGTTTACTGTTTTGAGACAGTTTCTCCTTAAGTTGCCTAGGAAGGCCTTGAATTTGTGGATTCCCCTGCCTCTGTCTTCCAGTAGCTGTATTTCCTGATCTGTGGAAGCAGGCCTAGCTTAAATTTAGTAATTATAAACAAGTGTTATATATTTCCTTCATCTTTATATACTTGAAAAAAATCTCTCAGATAGGGATTTTTTTCCTTTCAAACGTAATCATGTCATTACTGTACTCAATGTACAGTAGTAATAAAATTAATAAATATTTCCTCATCCTATTAAATAAGCTAGTTTATAGTGTTTCCTCAGTCATCTTAAAAATACCTTTTATTTTTGGTTTGTTCAGGTGAGGAACCAAAAGTCCATATATTGGACTGAGAATAACTGCAAAAAGCAAAAAACTAACTTGCCTTTTTTGTGTATGTGGATGTGTGTGAGAGAGATTTGGTTTGACTAAATTAATAACCTTTTTGAATTCACATAATTGTACATATTTGTGGGTTCCGTGTATTTTGTTACATACAGAATGTTCAGTGATCAATTTGGGAGAAGTAACATGCCTACCATCTCAAGTTTAGCTTTTTGTGTGTGTTGGAGGCATTAAAAAACTCCACCTCTAGCTATTAAAATATTTAGTAAATTACTGTGTCCACTGTATTGTGATGTGGAATACTCCTTTTGGTTTTCATCATATTTGTTGACGATTCGGGTAATTTGTCTGTAGGATTGCCTGTGTTCTAGAATTGGTGGATTGTATCCTTGTGGTTGTGTTTCTTTACCCTTGCTGTTTTAGAATAATGTTTGTATAGATTCAGGTTTAAATTTCTTTGCTGTCAGATCTTCCTTGACAGTGCTTTGGACTTCTTTTCCCCTTTATACATCTCACATTGGTTACATAAGCCTGTCCCTTTTTCACATATGATTCTGTGGACTCTTGTTAGTATAATAAAGGTTCTCCCAAGAAATTTCCACCTTCATGATTTTAGTAATTTGTTTATGTAACATACATTTTTTTTTACTTATTTATGAGGGAGAAGTCATACATTGTAGTTCAGGTTGGCCTGGAACTTACTGTGTACCCCAGGCTAGCCTCAAACTTGGAAATAAGTGCCTATCCTGACCTCATAAATGTTGCGATCCCAGGCTTGAGGCAGTACATTTGGCTCAGTAAATTGTTCTCTCCAAGCCAATTTGACTCTTTCCAGACCTTTTAAATACTGCCTTTGAATGTATTAGTATGAGGAGAAAACTGGCTTTTTGGAGTCTGGTTTCCAAAGTGGTCAGGTAGAGATGGTACTGATGGTGTGACACTCTTTGTCTCTCTGGATAGTGAAACTGTCTCCTCTTCAGTTTGCCTCAGTTAGATTTTTTTTTTTTTAGATTTATTTATTTATTACGGTTACAGTGTTCTGCCTGCATATATGCCTGCAGGCCAGAAGAGGGCACCAGATCTTATTACAGATGGTTATGAGCCACCACGTGGTTGCTCCGAATAGGACCTCTGGAAGCCAGTGCTCTTAACCTTTGAGCCATTTTTCCAGTTGGCCTCAGTTAGATTTGAGGAACACCGTCCATCTTATACTATCTTGCTAGAGTTTGCTGATGATCATGGAAGAATCTTCCTAAATCTCTCTTCATGTCAGTGAAAGACATTGAGAGGGGGAGCTTCAAACGAGAGGCAGCTTTCTTGAAATATAGTCATTTGTGAGCTAAAACTTGCTTTGAAGTCACTGATGGTTTGAAATACACGAAGGGTTTTATAACTTTGTATATTCAGTTAAATCTTAGTTTTGATCCTTCCTCTGAATATTTAGAGTGAGCGTATTCTTACTTTACTCCCCCACCCCTTTTCTTTCTTGTACCGTTTCTGCATATATCTTTCTCTATAGTGTGTTCTAAAGATAAAGAACATTTAACAATTCAGTTCATCTTACAGCCACCCTGTGAAGAGGTCCTAGAGGTAAAGACAGAAGGTTTATTGTTGTTTTCAAATCCAGTCAGTGGTTTGCCTGTATCAGACTCATGGTCACTGGCCAGGCCTTGCCCTCTCCATTATGCCACATACCAGTGCGTCCCTACCCCTTCTTAACTCTTAATGGACAGTTTTCCTCTTAATATTAAGTTGTGGAATTTTTTTATTTAACTCGTCATTCTGAAGAAATTTTGTACTTTTTTTGAAGTCATAGAATCCTGATAGTGTGAACACCTGTAACTTAACTCCATTGCTTGAGAGGCAGAGATGGAGAATCTAAAGTTCCAGCCTAGTGTTGGCTACATAGCTACCCCGTCTCAGGGAAAAGGAAAAAGGATTGAAGTATTTACCAGATTTCCTCACTGGTAATATGTAACATAGTCATAACTTACTGATGGCCTACAAAATTACTATAAGGAACTATTTCAAGCATTAAAAAAATGTATTGTTACACATTTTTTATGTATGTATGTAGGGTTTCATAGAGAATTTTGCAAGAAGTTTGGATTGTCTGCTCTGACTTGCTTTTATAATTAGTACTTATGGTTGGATGTCTCTGTTGACGCGAAAAGACAAATGGAAAAAGTGCTTTCCTTATAACTTCTGCAACATTGCAAGTGGTTTAGACCTTGTTTGTTTATTTATTTTTCCCCCCCCCCCCCACCGACCTGAGATAGGGTTTCCCTAACAGCTGTGATTGTCCTGAACTCACTCTGTAGACAAGGCTGGCCTCCCTGAGTGCTGGATTGACCTTTATCTGTTTTGACTGTTGAAGAAAATGGTCATTATTTAAAATGAAGATAATTCTCTCTAAATAATTTCTCCAACTTTCCCCAGGTACACTAATAAAATGAAATAGATATAACAAGCTTAGTTTGAATTTTCTTTCTACATTGTTTTAGATAATTTCTTTTTGCTTTTAAGTAGTTTGGCCTAAAGTAAGGCTTTTTAGTAATACAAGTGACCACAGGTGGCTTTTTTTCTTTTAGAGAGCAACTTCACCTGCGTTGCATTAGTTTGATCTTGCTTTGAAGATGACTTTGGCCAGAAACAGTTCAGTTGTCAGCACTCACATTCTGTCTCTGAACTTGTCCTCACTTAGCTATAGAAATGTTACAATTTTGAAAAATGTTTGTTTTGTAAAAATCGACTGAGTTGTCAGAGTAGTTAGAGTCTGGATCTGAGTTCTCAGCAGTCAGGCGGATGTTGCTGCTGCTTTCCGTGAACTCATCTTTCTGGCTCTGCTAGTGGCTGCTGAATCCCGTCCTCAGCAGTCACAGGTGAATGTAATTGTGTCAGCATCTCAGTAGCTTGTTCTTTTCTGTAGTCATGTCTTGTAGTCATGTCAGGTTTTGTTTCACTTGAGAATTTGTAAGTCCTTGGGGTGTATTTCCCTCTTCAGCTAATGTGAGATGGCTCAGTGGTTAAAGGACTTGTGAAAGCCTGATGACACGAACTCCCAAAGTTGTCTTCTGACCCTCACAATGCAAGTGTGACACGTGTGCCCATTCTACAATGACAGTAGATAAGAAAACTCTAGGGACAAAGGGTTTCTCTCAACTGTGTCCCCCCCCCCCCCACTTCTGGTGATTGTTCAGAGAGAAACAATCACTTCCAGTCTGTACTCAGGGATTGGAAGTCAGATCATGAAATCACCATTGGCATTTAAGAATGCAGGTTCAAGGTTAGCTTGAAGATGGAACTGTTTCCTGAAACAAGTCTGGCAAATTTCTGGTTTTCAGATCTTGTAGTACAGCCCTTAAAAATACAAACTCAAACAGTAACCTTTGTTGATAAGGTAGGCACTTTGTTGCTACAGGAAGGGATGAACACTGAATTGTTTTCTGCGTGAGGTCACTTTTTGCACAAGAATCTGAACACATGCCATGGAAGAGCATCTTTGGCTACTTTTACTTCCCCCAGATTGTTCTGGTGTTATCTTTTACCATGGCCTGTCTTGTTTTTTGTCATTTTTAGCAGTTTTGGTTTTTTTCCCCATCTTGGGACTGAGAGTCTTTTCCAGGCAGAAGTCCATCTATAGAGAAGAAGCCTCCTCAGGGCTGTCTGCTGAGGTTTTGTGGAAAGAATGGTTATTACCAGGGAAGGTTTTCTTTTGTTTTACTTGCTATCCAGATGCTGCTCAGACTCTCGCTCTCGCACAGGATCACAGTATGGATATTCCAAGTCAAGACCGACTGAAGGTAAAATCACCATGTGGTGACTTCTTTTCTTGTACAGAGTGGCCCCTTCTCTGTACCTGTGGATCTTGGGCTCCCAAGGCCTTTTCGTGAATGTGGTAAGAATTTAGTAAGAAAAGTCCTTGGGAGTTCACAGACCAGGGACAGAGTGAACCTTCTCTGTTCTGCCCTTAACAGAGTTCCAGTCTCTGAATGTGTCTTGGGATGTAGCACTTCTGAGTTTCACTTCTTCCAGTTGCTCTTTTTCTTTCTGTCTTTCTCTATCTCTGTTTCTTTCTCTTTCTCTCTCCTGTGTGTGTGTGTTTGCGTGTATGTGTGTGTGCGTGCATGCCTGTGTTTAAGAAGGTACATGTTGGGTTTTTGAGGAATTGCTGTATTAGACTGTAGCAGGCTTTTTGCAGTTCAGTTCATGTCATAGCATTTCCTAGTTTCCTCAGACTTGGGGAAACTTTAAGATCATCGTGGAATATGGTGAGGATGTCACGTGCTTTCTGAATTATGCCTAAAATGAAGTAGGCTGTGCAGACAACCTGTTTTTTAAGAGTGTATTTTGTCCTTTGTACAGAAGTTATTCCTTCCCCAAGATCCTGCTAGCTCTTCTTGTGGTGTTGAGAGGTGTTGTGTTGCTTTACTTGACAACTCTTGTCAGCTGCAGAGCTCTCTTTCTTGTGCATAACCCATTGTGTTGCACACTAACTGGCGAGCCAGAATGGAACTGCTACATCCCCTGGTTTTAGTCATTTCTGCTGTACTGATAGACACCCTTCCCTTTCAGCACAGTGCATCAGAATGCTCCAATTCCAGAAAAAGAACTGCAGAAGATGATACTCATACACTGCCTACCTCACAATGTAAAAGCAGAGATTCTAAAGGAGGTAAACTTTGTTTTAAGACTCTCCTTCTCTCCTTCATTGGAACTTCTAGAAATGGCATCTGCTGCTTTCGTGTGCAGCCTATGTTCAGGTCTTGAGACGGGGAAGGTGCATCTCCGTGAAGAAATGAACTGTCCAACTAGCAGATGAGTTTCACGCAAGTGAATAACTACAGCCCTGTCTTTTTATACATAAAAAACAAGAATCAAGGGCTGGGGAGATTGCTCAGTGGTTAAGAGCACTGTCTGTTCTTCAAGAGGACCCGAGTTCAATTCCCAGCACCCACATGGCAGCTTACAACTGTCTGTAATTCCTGTTCCAGGGGATCCAACACCTCACACAGACATTCATGCAGACAAAAACACCAATGTACATAAAATACAAATAAATAAATTAAAAAAAAGTTTCCTTAAAAAAAAGCAAGAATCAAGCATGTTTTTCCATACCAACAAACAAGTTTTTCCCATCCTCCAACATTAACCTCTGGCAAAAACAAATGTCAAATGTTTTCTCCCAACTTCTACATCAAAAACATCTTTGTTTTCTTTTTTTTTTTTAATTATTTATTTTATTATGTATACAATGTTCTGTTT